CACAGTCCTACCAGAGGGGACCCCAGCTGCCAGGGACCCAGAGCAGCAGGAGGTGGCGGCTGAAGCAGCAGTGCAGAATACAGACCCTGGCTCCCCCCAGGTAGCAAATTGCAGCTCTGTCCCAGCTCAGGACCATGCTATCACCACTGCAAGGAGCCGGGGCAGAGCCATGATCTGCTGCCTGCACATCCCAGCCCAGAGCATTCAGGCAGCAGATCACAGCTCTGCTCTGGCTCCAGACCAAGCTCCCCTACTACAAGATCCCAGCAGGCCCAAAGCAGCCCCCTGCCCTACCCTGCCCTGCCACACATCCTGCCAGTGCAGCAGGGGCTGGTCTCCATGGCAACCCCAGCCTTGCACTATCACAGTGCAGCTGCAGCTGGGGTTTCCATGGAGATTAGCCCCAGCCATACAGGCAGGGGCTGCTGGGAAATGGAGTCCAGCTGCCAACTGGATCCACTATTTTGCCCACCCCTATGTTAAATTAATTTAGTCCACCAGCTGTCTGCATAGTAATACCACAGCTTCATTGTACAGCAGAAATCAAACCAGGGTGCTTTCAACTTCAGGTAGAAAATAGGTTTCTTCATTTAATACATGCACACCAATTTTGGGGGGAGCTGATTTTTGAGGAAAAGATATGTATTGTATGCTAGAAAATATGGTGATTAAGGCCTACCTAGCTAATCCCCATAGCTATACAGGTACCTCAGCCAGGATGTAGTAATACATGGTGAGCTTGAATCCCACTACTTCAACCCCCTGGCTCTGAAGTGGATAAAGGCATCGCTGTGGAGGAGAAAGTGTCCCAGGGCACATTGCTTAAGCAACAGACCAACTAGATATGAAATGCAAGGAAGAACCTGAAGAGAGAAACCAGAAACTCTAAAACACCAACTATAAACCAGTGATTCAGGGTGCCGCAGCACCCTAGTGTCCCACAAGATTCTCTCAGGAGTGTTGCAGGGTTCCATGCAATAATAGCATGAGTAAGTGTGCAAACGCATACGCTTAATTCAAAAGATAAATTCAGAGACTTCAAATAGGAATCCAAACATCCTGACCTGTTGTGGTCTTTCTGAGTTCTTTGCAACAGAAGAATCTCAGTGATATTATTTTTATGAACTGAAATAAATAAAAGAGGTTTTGAAATGAGGTGCCACTAAATATGGAAAAGTTATGGAGGGGTGCTTTGCATCTAAAAAGGTTGAGAACCATTGATGTAGACATTTAAAACTCTTACCTGATGCATTACTCTCTTGTCTTACAGACCCAAAGAATGTTAGAATCAAAGACCATAAGAATATGTTGTAACATCCTCAGGGAAATCCCTGTGAATCTGATGGGATCTGAACAGAGAGATGATCCCTGCTTGTTGTTTCCATAGCCCAACTCTTGGCAGAACTTTTCATCTCAAAACTGTGCTACCTCTTCTGAGTTTATTATGGGAAGGTATTGCCCCTCTCTCAGAAGAGAGAGAGGACAGAGAAGAAAGAATCTTGCTAAGCTTACAGCATGGTAGACTTTCTATGGGAAATGCATATAATGCAGGCAATTTTTTAACAAAATGTATAATCTCATGAGAAAATGAAATCAGGCTTTTTTGACAAAACATATTTTCCTCATAACTTTGTTGAATACCATTGATTTTGTTCCTCTCCTGCATTTTTAATTGCATCTTGTATCAGCTTTTCCAATTCTCAGTTGTCTTCCATATTCTCTAAGAACTGGGGCCAAGAGTGGTTACTAATGGATTAGGAGGTACTTCAACCTCCTATAGTACAAATATGTTATCCTGCTTCTTCCAAATACCAAACAAAAATTGTTATAGGACATATTTACATTTTCTGTATTATTGTTAGTATTCAACCATGTCTACATAGTAACAGGCCTATACAAGTTACACCACCTCAGATGAGGATTAACTCTGGGCTGTACTACCTAGTTCATGTTAGGGTATCTTCAGTCAGCTCCACAGAGATAAAATGAGCAATTTGCAGTCCTTCACCATCCCATGAATGACCACTGTTTTTAACCCAATTTTTTAACCCAGTTTCACATAAATTTCAATGACTTGGGTCTTATTTTCAGAAAGTATAAAGCCTACAATTCTGTTTGAAGCCAATTAGAGGTACAGCTAAAGAGCACTTAAGAAAACCAGGTGAAAAGTGTCTCAAATGAAGTGCTCAAATTGAAAACGTTGAACAGAATCTTTACACATTATTTAAAGAGTAATAATAACATTTCTGGAAACGTTTCCGTTGGAGAGTCTGCTCCCATGGGTTTCACTGAATGCAGTGGCTATTCTGCTTAAATAAGTCATAAAAGACCAAGTCCAGAGTGTGGGCAGATGTAATACTGATGACAAATTTGGTAAAAAAATAAATAGTATAAAAAGTAAGGCAAAGAGGACTGGTATATGCATTATCAGCCATGTTTCAGGTGTTTCTGTCTTGTGATGTTTTTGTATTACTTTTCAAAATAAATTCCAGTTTTGAAATTTGAGTCAACTCTTCTTCCATTGCAAGACTTTTGGGGCAGGGACTCCATTTTAATACATATTTATTAACCTCCCAATTCCAGGTGGCTGCAGTCCAGATTGGGATCTCTGGGTATTTGTTGTATCATCACAATTATTTATTGACTTAAGTTATATTCTTTTACAAGCAGAGGTTGGTAAAAGTATTGAATAAATTATTTTATGACAGTAATAATTCAGGACTGATTTTAAAATACTAAATAAGAGGGAAATCTAGATTTTTTTTTAATTATTTTTTTTAATGTACCTAACTCCACTGATTTAAATGGAATTATTCCTGATTTTTATCAGCCTATGCCACCTCCAGATGGTAATCAGGGTTTTACCACTTAATATAGAATCAGGTATTCTAAACCAGCTTCTTGAAGTGGTATTTCCACACACACCCTTTCATACTAATGTCTCTCCCATAGTTAAAATAATCACAATCTGATTTTCTTTCTTCAGGGAAAAATGATATTTTTGGAGAGATGGTGCATCTTTATGCAAAACCAGGGAAATCAAATGCAGACGTGAGAGCTTTAACCTACTGTGACCTGCATAAGATCCAACGAGAAGACCTACTGGAGGTTTTGGACATGTATCCTGAATTTTCTGATCTCTTTCTCACTAATCTAGAACTGACTTTTAATTTGAGAGATGAAAGCTCAAAGGTACATACAAGGCATTTTCTTCCTTTGATTTTCTACGAATTGTGCATGTTAAAAGTAGAGGGATGGAAGAGAGGAGAGAGAGAGAAAGTGCTTAAAGATATACGGTTCTGTTCTCTTTGCACACTAGTGTAAATTGGAAGTAACACCATTCAGATTAATAGAATTAAAATAGCATGAGAGCAGAATCAGTCTACACTAAGAGAACTAAAAGGTGGCAAATGAAAAACAAATTTTAACAGAATTAAAATCAAAAGGCCTCTGATTAAATCCTATTAAAAAGCCATACTGACCTAAATGATCCAATGAAGTAGGTTAGACTCAACAGATGTCATGGGGATGTTGTTAATCTAGTAGGATTTGGTTCTATATTTAACTAGCATTGAAGTTTCAAGCAGGGAATTTTGAAAAATTACCTCTGAAGAGTATGCCTTTGCAGTAAGCAAGGATACAACTAAACAAGTGAATAGCAACATCATAACAAGGGAAACTTCCCACTCTGAATATATTTATCAGAAAATAAGTATCAGATTATCTTGCTTCAGTCCATAACTAATAATGCGGCATACTAAATTGCTTGCAAACTGTCTTGCACATTTCCCTCATTCTAAACCACATTTTCTACGTTCACATTAACTAACAAAGCATAGGAGGGACATTTGAAGGGCAACCCATTTTTATCTCCTCCATCTGCTTTGGCCTCTCTGTATCTCTCCTGCCAACCAGTGGCTTCTCTCAGCTGCCTTCCCCACCTTTCCTATAGCACTGTCAGCAGGAAAGTTAGAAATGCAGCATTAACCCTGGCTCTTACTCCCAAACAGCATGTTATCGGTCTGGATTTAAAAAGGGGAAGAAGGGAGCACGTTGACTGATAAAGAATGGGCTGGAGGCTGAGAGGATCAGAAGCATGGGGGGTTCTGCCACCCATCCATAATACTATGGAAGCTCATATAGCTCTGAACTATACTGCCCTGGACTATACTGCCCTATATATATATATATATATATATATATATATATTTTAGTAAAAACAATACAGTTTTTATAAATGGAGACCTCCCTATGGCATTCTGCTCTTAAATCCTTTTTGAGAAACAGGAAGAAACAGACTTCTTGGGGTTTCTATACAAACAATAGGATGTTCGTTGGTAATCAGAGAAGTGGAGGGGTTTAATATTTTTTCCAATGAAATATAGGTAAAGTAACATGTTAAAACATTATTTTTAATGCTGATCTTTTCTATAAATGATTGTTTTGCCAAAATAGGCAAAAGGAACACTTATTTCTTTTTTTTTCATTACAAAATTATCCTTTAGGTTCCATGCTTTTACAGTTAATTGGAAAGTTAGTCACTGTGATTTAAATGTTAAATACGCTATACTCTAGAGAGAATTTGAAGCTGAATTTGAGAGCTTATTGAAAATACAATTAGTTCTATGTGATTTTGTTTCTGAACAACTGTTTTTTATACTTTCATCTTAATAATGTTCTATAATTATTTTCTTTTTAGAGGATCACAGTGAGGTACAATAAACATCTGTCCACTTTCAGCATCTACATACATGATGTAGAACTAATAGACAGTCCCCTGCTTTTCCTTGGGTCCCTTGAAACTTTTTCATTGCCAAAAGCTATTGCTGACATCACTAGGGAAGAATCGATTAGAGGCACCAATAAGATGTTATAAAGCTGTGGGAATCGCCTGTGTATGAGTCTGCAGAATCAGGGTCTTAACCAGCAACTCCCATTTGGCTTCTGTTAGGTACTGTAGCCCTCAGAGTAAGATGAAAACAATGATCACCACATTTCTAACTAAAATACTACTAGGAACACTATTCAGTCACAGTTTTTTATTTGTTTGATGGCTGTTAGTCCCAAGTGCCTGTCCCTGAGCTATTCCGTCATTTAACCTAAAGTGCATTTTCCTTCAATTATTTCACCAATTGGCCACCATTGTGAAGTCCACGTGAATCTAAATTTTACCTTTAAGAATTCTGACAAGTGGTAGAGACACTTATAAATGTTACTCCCTTCTCCTCATCCCAGCAACAATAGTAGGTGCGTCTACACATGCATTTGATGCGGCACCAGTTTACATGCAAGTAAATTACTCACGAGTAAATGGTGTCAGGCACACATGCAGGGAAGCAGAAGCAGATTTGCTGCCAATCTACTCCCACTTCCCAGAGCCCTGCAATGGGCCTCTGGCACCACTGGGGGGGAGCTCCAGGCTCCAGCTGCAGCTGCCAGCAGCCAGCAGGCCTCTACAAAAGCCAGCCCCACTCACTGTTTTCTGTCCAGCTACTTCTCTGGCCAGGAACAGTGTTCCCAGTGCAGGGACAGCATGTGGCAGCACTCTCCTTGCCACCTCTGCCTCCCCATGCCATGGCTGCTCTGACCCCTGCCCCTGACAGCAATGACCAGTGCCCTGTGCTACTTCTGGCCTACTGTACTGACCACCACCTGGCCCATGGCTGTCTGGACCCACCCGGCTCCCCCACGCACAGTGAGCACCTGGCTGCCCACCACATGCTGTCCCAGGACCACCGCCGCACATGTGCTGCCTCCACCCCATCCACCTGGCTGGATCACAGCAGGGACACCAAAGATGGGCTCCAGAATGCCACCACCAGGGCTGCCATCACCCTGCTAGGCCTCTAGCCCTGCCACCCCTGTTTCCACTGGGCCAGCCAAGACTGGTAGCAGCATGTCATCCAGCACACCTGGGATGATGAGCAGTGGTTGGAGGCCTTCTGCATAATCCAGGCCACCTTCTGGGACCTCCTAGAGCAGCTCCGGCCCCACCTGGAGAGGCAGCACACCAGCATGCTGCCACCTCTCCCTGTGGACACCCGCCTGGTCCTTGCCCTACTCAAGCTGGCCACGCCTGCCAACCTGAGATACATCAGCCACCTGTTTGGCATGTGGAAGACTAGGGAGGCCATCCCAGAGGTGTGCGGCGCCCTCCAGGACATTCTGGTGGACATCATGCTTTGTGTGCTCAACCCCCTGGTGGTGAGGTCCCATGCTTTGGGATTTCCCCAGTTCACTGGGACCCTGAAAGGGACCCACATCTCCATCACCTGTCCACCTGATGGAAACTGCCTATACTACAGCTGGAGGGGCTTTCACTCTGTGGTGCTCCAGGCTGTTGTGGACCACCAGAGGGCTTTCATACGTGTGAGTGCCAGCTGGAAGGGCAGTACTCACACACCTGCATCTTCAGGAACACCAGTCTGCAAGGCCTATTGGAGAGTGGGCACTTTGTGTTGGGGGTGCCAGACCTGCACCTGGGCGCCATTGTGGTCTTACACCTGCTCATCAGGGACCCTACCTACCCCCTCCTGCCCTGGATCCTGCAGCCCTACACTGGCCACCTGGACCCCTGCCAGGCCCACTTTAACAGCTGCCTGGGCTGGACTCACACCCTGGTGGAGTGTGCCTTCAGATGCCTTAAGAGGTGCTGGCACACCTTTTCTGTGCACCTCAAGTTCACCGAGGACAACCTCTCCTGAGTCATCGTCACAGCCTGTGTGCTACATAACATCTTTGAGGCCCAGGGGGAGCTCTTCTATGAGGCCTTGGCAGAGGAGGCATGGCACATGAATGATGTCTGCCAGCAGAAGCACCACCTGAGGTAGCAGCCACACACTCACCAGTGGGAGCCCGGGCACTGAGTGCGGGAGGTGCTGGCAGACCACCTCATCCAGCACTCCCTACTCTAGCCCACCTTTGCCACTCCCCACGGACCCTCCCACCTGCAACACCACACTCACTGAAGAGTTATCTCAGAAGAACAGGTTTTTATTCACCTCACATCATCCAGAGCCCTCCTCCCTCCTCAACAAACAGACCCCTCCACCACTCACCCCACCCACCAACAACAAAACTATAAACAATGTCCATTGCGGGCTGTCCCGGGGTAGAGATCCATGCATGGTAGCACTTAGGGGACAGAGGCCAGGGACAGGTGGCCAGCACCTAGGCCTCTGGGGGGATCACCCAGGGGTGACAGCAGCTGGTGCTCCCGTGGGCAACTCCCCCTCCAGCAACTGGTGTCTAGGCCCAGCAGGGCCAGCATGCAATCCTGGCCCTGATGTAGACAGCTCCAACTCCATGCCCATGTGGAGCTAGAGCAAGCAGTGGGGCTGGGCCCAGGCAGGGCAGCAGGGTGGCACCAGACCCAGAGTGGAGTCCAGGGCAGGGGCCCCTGGCTGCTGGAGGCAGTGCAAGCCCTCCTCCCAGGTCCAGGTTGGGGCCTGCTGCTAGGTAATGGGTGGCTGCTAGTGAGCAGGCAGGGCTAGGGTCAGGAGCCAGGCAGCAAGTAGCATGAAGGTAACTGCCAGGACCAGAACAGTGTCCAGCACCCAGCAGTCATTATCCATGGCCTGCGCTGCCCGGGACAGGATGGCATTCTGCTCCCACAGGGCCTCCAGCCATTCAGACTTCAGGGCCATGAGCTGCACCTGGAACTCGTGGTCCACCCAGTCCTGTGCCTCCTCACTCCAGCCCCATGCATCCTTGCAAGTGATGTCCTCTGCCTGTTACCTGTCCTAGTGGGTCCACATCCTTTGCCTGCCAGGCCCGAGCACCTGCCAGCCATTCCCCCAACATTGTGACCAGGTGGTCCAGAAGGATGGTCCTGTTCCAGGTCCTCCTTTGGCATAGCCGGTGCATCCGCAGGGCCCTGGCTCTGGGCGATAGCAACTCTGAGGCTGCATCCTGGCTGTCAAGAGCAGTCTCTAGCCCATGTGCAGCTGCAGGCCCTGTAGAGCCATGAGACAGAAGTTGTTTGTGAGAGTTTGCAACATTTCAGAGAAAAAATATTCTGTACCAGGGCCTGTGCACTGCCCAGCCTCAGATCAGGGGTTGGGCATGCACAGGTGGCCAGGGATCATGGTAAGTCAAATGGGCAGTCCCAGGCCTAGGAGGCTGCCAGCTAAGCCCCCCACCCTTGATCACTCCCCTGGGACCAGTGGCCCACTGGGTGCTGGCCATAGGCAGCCTGCCTCCCCTACCCTGTTCCCTGCCAGGAGCCTGGTGGGACAGGCCAGGCTCCTGACAGCACCTGCTGCCATGGCTCCAGACCCTGCTGTCTCCACCACTCTCTTTCCTGCAAGCCAACCACTCTGCTGCATTTCTGCCTAGCCCACAGCACCTTGACTCAGGGGGTGTGGGGCTCCCAGATGACTGGATAAAGAGCTGTCCGTGGCCCCACTGTCCCCACACGGGTCTTCTCCAGGGAGGTGCCCCAGGGCCAGTTCCCTCCCCACCCCCATGCCACCACTGTGCCCTGAGCATGCCTATGCTGTGCATGCCCCAGGTGGTGCATAAGGAGCTGTTTGCATGAACCAGGGTGGTGCCTGACCCACTACACACTGCTGCTGTGGATCACCATAGTATACAATGTTCGGGGGGGAGGGAGAGCACAAGCTGCCCTGCAACCTTTGCCACTTCCTGGAGGGCTACCTGTGGCTGTGGTATACCTCCCTGCCACCCACAGCTGAGGGGACATCACCACTGCTGTCAGCATATTTCTTGGTGTCTGAGAAACCCATGACCACCTAGCTGTGGAGGCACAGGCAACCCACTGAAGTTTTGCACTGCCTCTTGCCTCCCTGCATGCTGTTGGGAAACATGGGCTAGGGAAGTGTGGGCAGGCCAGGCAGGGGCTGGGAGCAGGGGCAGGGGCAGGGAGGGCTCTCCCCCCAGAGCGAAGCTTAGCACCTGCATTTGCAGATATAGAATCTCTGTGTGATTAAGCATTTTTACTGTGCAGTAAGCATGCACATGTGTTGATGCGCATGCTTACTGTGCAGTAAACTATGCTATTGCACAGTTAAGAATCTCATGTAGATGCACCCAGTGAGCACCTAACTGACCTGTCCAGTCTCACCAGGATGAGAAAGGAAAGCAAATTCAAACTCCTGTTTCATATATATATATACACGCAGAACACTTGCCTTCCTGGCAGGGGGTAGATGTTTCATTTAATTAAGGTAGCAGAATTTTATGGCTGAAAATCTTAGCACAAAAAGTATGTAAAGGGAGAGTTAAGTGCACTGAAGGCATTTCTGCAACAAAAAGCACAAATCTGAGAAGACAACAAGATGGATAAAAAGGGAAACCACAATTTTCAGCTATGGAAATAACAATAACTCAATGAGTTGAATCAGAGAGGGAGGAAGGGAGTGACTGGAAAGATAAAAATAATAAAGAGTAAAATGTCTGGTGTTTATCAACCTTATATTTATTGTTGTAAAAATTAACCTTTGTAACAGTTACCATGTAATTAAACATCTTAGCTAATTATATTCAGTTATCACATTACTGCCCATAATAATATACATCCTCTCTAAGAGATTATTTTATTTTTTTATTTATTTAACTTCTCCAAGCTTTGTTACTTAAAATACATCCAAACAAGCTCAGGAAGCTGATAATAAGTAAGATCACTATCATGCACAAATGTTATCTGGAGATCATTATTTCACCATCTCATGATGACACTGTTGGATTATTCAATCCACATGGTAATTTTAATTTTAATATTGAACAGTGTCAGTAATGTTTTCACTTGATTCAGACTGAGGTGTGTAATCTTGCCTTCCTTCAAATTGGAACACGATTAACAGTCAATCACCTATTGATAGACTATTGTTTTCAAATGTCACTAATGTATCATTGCATTACATGTCTCATTAATCAAGGCTGATCTCGTAAAAACCACTAATGATTCAGATGGAGATAACTGCAGACTTAGGAGAAGGAAATTGTCCTTTCAAAGTGAAGAAGAGAAAGGTAATCAACTTTATTTTTTATATTAGACAGCTCTGGAACATTATTCAGTGATATTGAAAAGTATTATTTTCATTTAGTAACATGGATGTTCCATGTTAGCCATTACTTGTAAGCTAATGAAGATTCAGTTGCTCAGGAGCAAGGGTGTTGTAGGTGGTGGTTCTCAAAACAAGTACATGTAGCCACAGAATATCAGGTTCATTTTAGTACAACTCCTCACCCACCACTACAGATGCTGAGGATCATCATCAATCCTATTATCAGAGATGGTAATCTAGTTATTATTTTGTGGAAATCACCATATTTAAAGTTTGGAGAATGTGATCTATTAGATATTCAGAGCATTAATTTTATTTCCCAATGACAAATGATATTTTGTTTGGTGCAGGGTAACAAATCCCCACTATATCTGCATTTTCTTTCTAGTGGTTAGCATATACATTCTCCAAGAGGAATTAGTGACTCAGTTGGCAGTATACAAATGACTCTACTGGCAGATATTTGGGTGGCATTTGCTTTTGATATAGAAGGCCATGGAGTAAACAGACTGGAAGGCAGAATTTAGCTAAGTACTATCTTGTGTCTCTCATACGTACAGCTCTCAGGTACCAAGGACTGTAAATGCAGTGGCTTTTGCCAGGATAACAGTAATAATCAAGAAAACAAAACTGACACTGATAAGCCTCTTTTTGCCTTATTTTGCTTTTTGCCTATTTGTGCATTTGACAGACTACTGTTTTTGCTGTATACCCACTTTTACCTTTTACAGTCCACTGTTAAAGGCCAATCGTGAATGAAGAAGACCAGTAATATTAGGACATGAAATTACTGATGGTAAATGAAGGCCACTATAAAATTATGTAGCGTGTGTAGTGCTGGAGAAAGGAAAACTCTAGTCCAGTGTACAGCTGGTTGGAATGGCATTACCATTCTATCAGAGAGGCATCTTTAAGGCATGAAGCCACGAGTGACAACAAATCTGTCAGGAAGATGTCCCCGTGAAATATTCAATCTGCTCTTCAACAAAGAATCTGTTGACAGAGGTGCTTTGCCTAACTAACCTTCACATTTCTTATGAGAAAACATACCCTGCCACCTAGGCAAGATTGAAGTGATCTTCCAGTCTGTGCCTGCTATAGAATTATAAATAGCCTGCTCAGGTGTCGGGCTGCTGGCACAAACTGGGTTTTTATCACTCTTGTCCACTAAATTATTGGTTGGTTTACACCAAGCCATCTTCTGATTGCTAACATTTATTTACACTGCTTTTGATGTCCATCATTTTCCTCAGTTTTGTCACTGAAAAGAAACAATATCATTTGGGGAGAACAGTCAGCTACTCAATCTTGGTAACCGAGTGGGAAACTCCCTCGCTTGAGAAGAGAAGTGAAGAAAGGAGGAAGGATAACCAGTGGAGCTGTGTACATTTGTGCCTGCCAGCATACTTCTTCCCCTGCCTGGTCCACATGCAATTTTTCCAGACGGCCAGAGCTCAGCAGAGCTCAAACAGGGTTGGAGTCCCTCCACATTACTTTATGTGGCCTCTGCTACATCCTGCAGCGTGCTGTGAAGTACCCCTACACCTTACTGTTTTTAAGGCTGCCACAGCTGCATGCAAATTAGGTTATTATTTAGTTACATTATAATTAATTGTTAAGCAACAATCATGTAACACTTCAGGAGAGGCAAAGTAAAATAATCATAGTCCTCAATCCTTGCCTAATGCTGTTTATGATCTGTTTACTATGTCGGCAATTTTTTTTCCTAATGATAATGTAGTCATAGTTTACATTTCATAAATATGATGTCTAAAAATCGTCATGCTTCATTGTGATTTGGATATTGTAAATTCTTAATAACTTCTGCCTTTTAAGGCATGAATCCTTAAAGCCTTATCCTTTCTACTGTGGTTCTTGAATTTGAGCCTTTGATGCCTATATATTAACAAGATTTTATAGAAGAGAATTTCTTGATGGAAACTTAGATTTCCTGCCAGAATTTTCCATTCAACTGCTGACCTATTGCACTATCTGAAGTTATATTTCTTCCCTTCTCTGGATTGACCATACAGTAGTCTGAGATTTTCTCCCTTTTGGAGTGCTAAAGATGGGGTTGTGTTTATGTTATCCTTCAGTTCATGCTAGTCTGACTTGGACTGCGTTGCCATGGTAACTCTTCTTGCACTAGGTTCATCAGGGATTTAAACAATATCCGTGTGGCTCTTTATCATTTATCTATAGTAGATACCCACTTCCTTGCCTAGAAGTGGAACAGTTAATTCAGTTGAGGTTGGTTGCAATTTGTTCTACATGCAGCCTGTGCTCTCTAGCGTAGAGTGGTGTGAAATTGTCTTGCTCAATCTGAGCCATATTTCCAGCATAGCAACATGCATCTAATCTCAGCTACCATGTAATACTTTTTTCAAGGACCAAACCCTAGCTCCTGATCCTGAGCTATGTGGTACAAGGCTGTGTAGAGTGGCTCACCTGACCCTCTGTGATTGCCAGGGTCAAATGAAATAACGAAGAGCCCTGTTTAGCATTACCACATGTTGCTCCCTGGCAACTTTACCCTAACCCTTTCCCAGGAAGTGTCCATGACAATTGACATCTGTAGACCTTTGCTATTCTGGTGGGGAATCCCTGTGCATATACAGAAAGCATCTCCACCCCACAACAACAGCAGCCAGTTCCCACAGGGGGCGAGCAGTTAGCTGACAGAGATTCTCATCAAGACAGCTGGGGCCAAGGGCAGATCCAGATTTTCCCAAAGTGGAAGCACCAACCCATACTGCAGGGGTGGCTGCACCAACTGCTCCAAGCCTCCTCCCATCCATCAATGCACAGAGACTTTTTTAAGTCCTTAAAACAGATAAAAAATCCTTCCTCCTTTCCCCTTCCTGCTCAGAGGCATTCCCCACTCCCCTCTTCTTCCCTCTCCCCACCAGCTCCCCTGCCTGCTGCTGTTGCTTTCTCCACAGCTCGGGGTGGGGAAGCTTCAGAGCCAGCTGGGCTAAGCAGGGGCTAGCCTCAGCTGGAGAGTGGACAGTGACAACAGCGAGTAGTTCCTCCCACCCTGCACAGAGCAGGTATAGGGAAGAGAAACCCCCTATCCATCCCTGCTGCCATGGTCTCCATCCTCCTCTGAGCCCAGCTTCAACGCAGAAGGCAGGAACAGCTCTGGTGCTTCCCTGCCCCATGGACAGGGGAGAAAATCAGGCAGGGGAGGGGGGAAGTGGGAAGGAGTAGGAAGGAGACAGCAGGGAGGATTTTCACATGCCTTACGAACATTGAAAAGTCCCTGGAGGCTCCCATAGACTAGCATAATCCAAAAGGGGGGTGTAGCTGCACCACTGCACCCCCTCTGGATCTGCCCCTGGCTGGGCCTCTGCAGTGCTATTGACTAAAGAAAACCCTTCACCGAGGGTAGAGATTTTTCTAGAGAAACTTGTTTCAATTCCACTCAGCTGCCCTTTAGCATTCCTGACCACCACAAGGAATGCTTTGTTCCTTCTTCCTCATTTCTCCCCCTCCCTCCCATAGGAGCCCCGTGGGAATGAAACCAAATGCACAGCCCACCTATGAATGTCAGGAAGATTCTTTGGCTCCATTAGACCTGAACACAGAGCTGGTGCAGAGCCCTTCCCCTCTGATCATGGCCAGGCAATTTTCAGGGTCAGTAAAGCCAGAATGAAACCCATGAAGGTGGGTGGATGCAAAAGATGCAGAAGGCAGGGCCAGAGTTTTGTCCTGACAGAGTGAGGTCATGAAGGATAACACTTTGAGGATACTTGCTAGTGAGTTTGAGTTCCTGCATCATTACTCTCTCTAGTGTCTCATTTAGTTTTTTGTTAGCATAGGCTGTAATAGTTTCACCTTCTTGGGTCCATTACAGTCTCTAATTATTCTTGTGAAGAGATGTTCTTCACATTAATCTTTAATTTGTTTCATCCTGAGCTGAAGGCTATAAAGCTTTGGTTCCATACCTAGCAAATCTGATGATCCCCATGAGGCAATCAGATGTGAAAACTATCTATTCTAAACAAAGCTATTTCTGAAAGGACAAAGTCAAACTATACTAGTGACGTACTCAAATTCTAACTTTTGGACAAGGAAGCTAAAATCCATTACTCCAATCCAGGATAGTAATGAGAATATATCTTAGATTTGCTACTTTGCAATGGAATGATAAACTAATTGTAATAAATGAAGTTACTTTAGATTTTCACTAGCGTGAGAAAAACAAAATCTGTAAAAAGATGTAAAATGCAAAAAAATGTAAACAGAACCCCACAAAAAGACGTATTGTTTTATTAGTAAAGAGGGGTAGTTAACCATGTTAGTTTGAAGTCAGGCAGCAGGTAGCATAGATTTGCACTTTATAGACTAAATCAGAGATGCATAAGTTTTCATAAGTATTTCATCAGATCCTGTTCTTAGTAGCCATGGATTTAGGTATTGACAGTAGTTGTTCAACTGATTGGCCAACTCATCTAGAATTAGATTAAATCATGACAGAATTTTTATTTCCTTGGTTTTGATTTCAAGAACGCACAAAAGAAAGTTCTTATGAATCCTGTTGTAGGTTCACTGCTATTTCCCATCTGCTCCCACTATTATTTTTGTCTTTTGTATTACTGTAGTGCCTAAGAGCTACCCCATGGGAGCTTCTAAAAGAGTCTTATTTCCAAGGGTGACATATATTGAGGCTGTTTCCAAATGGCTGTGTCTGATGGAAAGTCACACATACCACCAGACATCCTTGTAGTAGAAGTTAAGACCCTAGAAAAAGAAAGGGGAATTCTATTTTTTTTAACATTACCCAATATCATTTTTAAGGTATAGGAAATCTATATATATAATAATTCTGCATAAACACACACACACACACACACACACACACACACACACACACACACTTATTTATTTATTTATTTGTTTATACTACTACTACATGTATTTATTTATTTAAGTGTGGTATTATTGCATGAAGCATAAAGC